GTCCCCAACTGTCCCCAACTGTCCCCAAATGTCCCCAAATGTCCCCGCTGTGTCCCCAGCTGCACGTGGCGGCGGCTCACGGTTTCCTGGAGGCGGCCGAGCTGCTGCTGGAGCACCGCGCCCGCCCCGACAGCCGCGACGACGACGGCTGGGAACCGCTGCACGCCGCCGCCTGCTGGGGACAGGTCTGGGAGTGCCCCAAATACACCTAAATACACCCCAAAACACCCCAAAATACACCCCAAAATACACCCCAAAAACTCACCCAAAGTACACCCCAAATACACCCCAAATACACCCAAAAACACCCCAAAATACACCCCAAAAACTCACCCAAAGTACACCCCAAAATACACCCCAAAAACTCACCCAAAAACACCCCAAATACACCCAAAAACTCACCCAAAGTACACCCCAAATACACCCCAAAAACTCACCCAAAAACACCCCAAAATACACCCCAAAAACTCACCCAAAGTACACCCCAAAATACACCCCAAAAACTCACCCAAAAACACCCCAAAATACACCCCAAAACACCCCAAAAACTCACCCAAAGTACACCCCAAATACACCCAAAATACACCCAAAACCACCCCAAAATACACCCCAAAACACCCCAAAAACTCACCCAAAAATACACCCCAAATACACCCAAAATACACCCAAAAAACTCACCCAAAAATACACCCAAATACACCTAAAACACACACAAAATACACCCAAACACACCCCAAAATACTCCCAAAAACACCCCAAAATACCCCCAAAACCACCCCAAAATACACCCCAAACCACACCCCAAATACACCCAAAAATACACCCAAAATACAGCCAAAACCACCCCAAAATACGCCTAAAACCACCCCAAAAACTCACCCAAAAATACACCCAAATACACCCAAAATACACACCCAAAATACACCCAAAACCACCCCAAAATACTCCCAAAAACTCACCCAAAAATACACCCAAAATACACTCAAAATACGCCCAAAACCACCCCAAATACACCCAAAATACACCCAAAAATAAACCCAAAACCACCCCAAAATGCACCCAAAACCACCCAAAATACACCCAAAATTCACCCAAAAACACCCAAAAATCACCCAAATACACATCTCAAAATTCACCCAAAAATACCCCAAATTCACCCCAAAATACACCCAAAACCACCCAAAATACACCCAAAACCACCCAAAAACACACCCCAAAATTCACCCAAATTACACCCAAACCACACCCCAAAATTCGCTCAAAATTCACCCAAAAACGCCCCCGAAAACACCCCAAATTCACCCAAAAACACCCCCAAAATACACCCAAAAACACCCCAAAAACACGCTCCAAGCCACCCAAAATTCACCCCAAAATTCACCCAAAAACACCCAAAATTCACCCAAAACACACCCCAAAATTCACCCCAAAATTAATCCCAAAACACCCCAAAACACCCCAAAAACACCCTAAAATACACCCAAAACCACACCCCAAACACACACAAAATACACCCAAAACACACCCAAAACCCCCCCAAATTCACCCAAATCACACCCAAATTCACCCA